ACAAATTCGCGCGGCCCGCAACTAGCGGGCCTTCCCACAATACCTAATAGTTTACAACACGTGTCTAAATACCTAACTTATCTACTTAACCTACTATTTTGCCACTGTGCTTATCTCCACGTAGCCACTTTAATCCGAATTTACAGGTTAAATAACCCAAATAACTGGTTCGATTCCCCGCTAATGAAGAAATACTTAAATGAAATGTAACCAAGGTTGGAGTCATGCGTTTTTATTTATCGTGTAGGTATGTTTATTATTCTCGTGTATTCAGTTATGTACCTATTCAGATTAGTCTAGTACTAAGTTATTTAAAAAAAAATAGTTATGAAACAGCTTACTGCTCTAAATCCTCCGTGGTCTTATGAGATGCGGCTCAAATTGTGCTCCATTCATTTCAAGGCAGACTTGGGTGCAGGCGGGGCATCATCGTGTGGTCTTCGACACAGTCCGTACGTAGTTTCTCGAAAGCATCCACGATCCTTTGGCGCATTTCTTCAGCACTATCACATTCACGATTAAAAACCCTTTCTTTCACATACCCCACAAAAAGAAGTCTAACGGAGTCAGATCTGGTGAGCGAGGTGGGCAAGGGTCTGGTCCTAGTCTGCCGATCCAGCGATCATCAAATAGCTCATTGAGGCGCTCACGGACGAACCTCACGAAATGTGGAGGGGCACCATCATGTTGGAACTATGTGCGGCGATATTCAGCCAACGATAGGTCGTTTAAAATGTCAACCAACTGTTCATTTATAAAGTTTAGGTATCGCTGTCCGTTCAGTCGCTCTGGCAGAAACACTGGTCCCAGTATGCGATCCTTAAATAAACCTGTCCATACGTTAACCGACCATCGGGTTTGGTGCCCGGTTTGTCGAACAGCGTGCGGGTTAACCTCTGAATACACGTGTGTATTTCTTCGGTTCCACAGGCCGTTTCTGGTAAATGTCGACTCATCCGTCCAGATAATGTTCTCAATGGAACCAGGCACACGTTGTTGCTGATATAATAACCAACGGCAGTATAATAACCACTATAAACGTACGCGTTAGGCATTATTAAAACAAAAAAGAATCCAAAAACGTAACAAAAACTTTAATATCAACACGTAATCACAAGTAAATTTATTAAACAAAACGATTGAACTGTCGCTCGCGCACGCGTGTACAAAATCAACACGAAACTGTCTCAAAAACTAAAACCAACGAACCCCGTCAAGGCTGAAAATTACTGCGTCACAAGCGTGAGGCGACAGGGTTAGGCATTCTGCCGTCATAATAAAAAAGGAAGTAACTAACAAAAACGTAAAATGGAAATAAAAAATAAATTGATGAATTTTTCTTTCAGACCCCGTGTCTAAAGTATATTAAAAGGTATCTAAATTGAAATATATACGTAGAGACATGAAGATTTTAAGGACGAACTTATTTTTTTTTTAAATTTGTTTATTTATTTAAATAAAACGAATTTTCCTTTTCATCTTAGCTTAAAAAATACACCTGGCAACACAAAAACATCGAAGGAAAGACGCATATAACTATTTGCGTCTTTCCAACCTAATAAATTAAAAAAAAACTGCCATTCATTTAACAATTTTACATATTTTGGAAAGGTCATTTGAAGTTGAAAGGACGCTAATAGTAATTTACTACTTTTTTTTTTAATAAATATTAGAAAAGCATTGGTAGTGAGACACAAAAAATAATAATTTTAAAAAATAATGATTTTAAAGGGGATATCATACAAGACTTACTACGATAATAATTAAAAATTAAAAATTTTGTACAACCGACTTTAATATAAATAATTAAGGATAACTCAAAAACTATTGGTCTGACCTCGATCAAATTTATATGGGACCACATGTGAAACACCAGCTCTTAACAATAAGATATAAGCTCTTAATAATAAGATATAGAATAATAAGACAAGACCAAGAATAATTGAAATTTAAGTAATCGATGCAAATATTGTTAAAGATGACGTAGCAACTGGTTAAATAAGTCTTTTCTTTTATGTTGAATTTGTATGTCTTTTCTACTAAAAAAAGTCATCTGTGATCAACAGTTACGTCTAAAATTCTTACGATAATTTCTAAAATATTGATATTTGTGAATATTAAAAAAATTTAGTAGATGCGCCTTCTTATCATGAATCGAATGGTATATTTAACTCATTTATTCATAAATTGTTAGATGCGCCCTTTTTTCTTACGACCGCGTGTTTCGTACCGAGCTAGATACAGGTCGATAGCGGAGGGGGTGTGGGTACAATCGCGTTCTAAAGTACTACATGGTATTGGGCTATTGTTTTATAATATTATAGTAATTAATTGTTTTAATGTAGAATCATAATAGGTGTTTTACTAGCTACTTAGAACTTTGGAAGAGGTGGGAATTAAAAATGGATAATGTTTACATGAGCATTATTTGTTATTTCTATCGTAAAATATAAAGTAGTTTGTAACAAGAAAACTTTAGCTAAGGGTAACACGCCGTCCATTATGACGTCTTGGGTCACATGGAAGCCAGATGTTAATGGTGTGTTGGTGTTACTGGATGCTACTTGATCATCACTTTCATCTTCGCTTGAGCTTCCGTCATCAGGTCGATCACATGGTAATTTTTTCGGTATTCTTCCTCCACACTTTTAACTTTACTGCACAATTTTCCCCATTCACCTTCTCCTATCATATTTACCTTTTCGATCACTAGTTTAGTCATAAAACAATAGATATAAATAATTTTTCTTTCCTTCCTTTTTAAAACATCGTCGCGAATCGCAAAGTAAGCTGTGTATGCGACTGTATTTTTGGAGCGAACAAAGCGCGGGAACCAATAGCATGCAGGCACACATATGCTGGGGCCACAGTAACGAGAAACGTCAATGCCCAAAAACGCAACAATTATTGCCTTAATTTTAACGCGATAAACTGAGTGGCCACACTTGGGTAGGTCAACTTCAATGCCGTTGAACGGCGTTAAAGTAAACTGACCATTTATTTATTAACTCAAAACGGGACATGGGTTTATTTGTACTCCCTAGTTAGCAGGTTAATAATATAAAAAAATTATGTTATTTATTTAATAACTGTAACTTTATAAAATTAGTGTTCACTATAATTATAATCGCATTAATTATAATTATTTTTATTTTAACAAATTGTGAAAAATAAAATTAATCACCAGTTCACCAGCTTCATTAAAGCAAAGTTCCTCAGAGAGTAATTATTAAATGCCACATATTTTTTAATTATATTTATATTTGTCAGTGGAATAAATTTGCTTTAATAAAGTTGGTGATGATTTTAAATAAGGGCAAGTTTTTTTTACATTGATTTTTGTTATCAACATCGCCTTTAGAACTGGAACCTGAAAGTGATTTTTTTTTCAGACGTCCACAATTTATTCATAATAGAAAAATACTTTTTCGACTGGAGCATTTGTACAAGGTATACATAAAATATATTCGATTAAAATGCAAGAGAATTTATGTTGAGAATGTTGGTGAGAAATGTTTGAATCTCCCAACGAATTACTGCGAAAACTGAAATTATCCCATTCGGTTATTTTTTGGTCGGTCCCGCTCTCGCACAGTTCGTGTCTGACGAACTTCATAGTTTTAAATTTTCTCGCGGTTTAGGACAACGGGACTATTTTGCGTCCCGGAGATTTGTTTGGGGACAACGGGACAGGTGACTGAAAAAAGGGACAGTCCCCTTCAAAACGGTACGTATGGTCACTTTGCGTTAATATTCCTTGAATTTCAAGCAAAATGAACGTTGACGCTGCTACACTATGTTTGATGAGTGTACATTTTTATTATATGAATATATTTTACCATTGCCTAAGCATGGCTCTGTTTGCAGAATCTCAAGAAACGTAATAACTTTTTCATTATTCCACTCTATCGTAGCCATACGTGCGACTCCGTTGCGCTCACCGTGCACAATGAGACAAACGTAGTGTGGCCGCTTCAACGCGTTAATTCGTGCGTTAATCTCTTTGATGTACCGACACTCGAGTTATCGTTCAACGGGAAACGGCATTGTTCTTGCCGTTGTAGAATTATCGCGTTAAGTGGTGGCCACACCTACAATCAACGCCCATCAACGCGATAATCAACGGCATTTCTCGTTAGTGTAGCCCGGGCATAATACTGGCGGAGTGTTCCCCCGTCGCGCGCCTTTCGTACCAATATGTGATAAATCGCTCAGTGCCCAAGTTCAAGGCCAGCGTTTGTTTTTCACCGTTCGCGCGTACATTAACCTCCATTAGTCAGGTGATATCAATTCAGTTTCCACTGCTGGTTTTATGTTTCAGTATTTTCATGATATTTTTTATGAAATTATCGTTTCATTTAGCTGTACTAACATGATGGCGCGTGAGTAAAGCTAATAAAACGTTGTTAAAAGATGATTTTTTTTTCATCAGGATCGACTTTATTTGTAACCCATGATCAAAGGTATACTTGGTGCTGTCGCCTGTCTTAGTTTTCGGGAGCGTTCCAAAAATACCCTGTATAGTCTACTAGCAATCCGCCCCGTCTTTGCACGGGTGGTTTCTGGATCTCGGCAACAGCGCCACCTACCGGGTCCAATTGTGAATCATTTAGATCATCCTAGGACCCACTCAAACACACACAAAAATTTCATCATAATCGATCCAGCCGTTGTCGAGACTAAAGGAGCTATAGATTTAAAATTTAAAAATTTTTTAAATTCCACATACAAAGTGCAATGCGGGGGCATTGCACTTTGTATGTGGAATTTCGTTAAATCCGTTCTTGGTTTTTTTTTTAACATATTCTGGCCAAGTTTTATATATAGCTATAGTTTGCAAATGTAAACCATAAGGAGGCTTGAAATTTGGTAGGAATACTCCTTTCGCCGAGTAGAGGTCAGCTAAGAACGAATTTTACGAAATTCAACCTGCGAGGGGAGTTGCGGGGGCGTTAATTTTAAAAAAAAACTAACGTTTATAATTTTACTTCACTTTCCAGAACCGACAAGCACATTCAGGCGACGATCAGAAATAAGTTCGCGCACGCGTCGGTGCTCACGATCGCCCACCGGCTCAACACCGTCATGGACTACGACAGAATTATCGTTATGGACAAGTGAGTACAGACCAAAATGTGTGTGTATTTGAACTATTAGCCAGAGTTGGAATTTATCCGCCGACTGTATTTACATGTTATCTAAATTCGTGGACAAACTGTAACTTAATAGCAGAACAAGCATACACACATAACTGCGTTCAAAATTACAAGTTAAATTGTCGGATGAGGCGTACATGCAATATGAATGTGGGGAGAAGTTTTATATCACGAAGACATTCGTTCATATAAGTAAATAAAAGTGTAATTAAGTAAATAACTTCGCACATGAGGATATTTGATCACTTACCTACAACAAGTTAAAATTTAAATAATAACTGATAATGGGCAGTGAAGAAATTCCAATTTCGTTTACAGGGGACGTGTAGTCGAATCCGGACACCCATACGTACTTTTGACGCAAACGAACGTGCAAACAAATATAGACGTCCCCCCTGCGGAGGCGCAGGAGCAACCTAATCATACTGAGAAGGTCTGGTGTTGATGCAAATTTCTTTTATCTTATGTATTATTTATTTCTATATAATGTACCGTGTAACAGAATAAATAATATTACTACGTACCGTGACAGTGTGTGCAAATGTTAGTGTGATTGTGTAGATTTTATTTTTTTCCAAAGTAATAGAGATAAACAAACATACAGTCCACCTGATGGTAAGTGAATGCTGTGGTCCATATACATCCACTTTAGCCAAGAATGAGTATGCAGTTGCGTGGTCATCACAGGACCTACGACCAAAGAGTATAGTAGTGTCCGACGACCGATACTATCGAGTGGTTATCACAGATCACAGTACTTACACTCGAAATGATCCATTTCAATGATGGACCCGAGTGACCCGGTTCGTAAGACGAATCGATACTTGAATGATCGAGTCACTAGAAATGAATGAATGACACACGTCTAGTTACTATCCTTTGTCGAACCGACTTTTTCGTAAAAAGTTAAAGTTAAAAATGTTACAGCCTATATACGTCCCACTGCTGGGCACAGGCCTCCTCTCATTTCTGAGAGGGTTTTAGGGCAAGGAAATGTCCGCCACGCTGCCCCTATGCGTGTTGGCGAACTTCACATATCTTCGAAATATTTTTTCTTATTTCTCAGACATGCAGGTTTCCTCACGATGTTTTCAGTCACACTTAAAATTCAAATCGGCACTTAAAATTGCAATTAACAATTTCATTGGTGCCAGCGGGGATCGAACCCGGGTTGCTCGCGTTCCGTGAAATTTACAGCACAACTTTTTCGTATATTGGCATAATCGTTGCAGCGTGGCTCTACCAGATAAATAAATGTTTGTAGTTTTTTATGTCCACTTTACATTCCTTCAACGATTAGTTAAGAGTTATGCGCCTTACTTACGATGTCTACAAAAGGTAACTGTTATAACTCCAGGGCTCTGTAAAGTCAAATTATGAATATTTGTTAGTTTCATTCGTTCTTAAAGATCGTGATCATCAAATTTGTTACTCAGAGGTGTAGGCAGAGACTATGGACTTGAATTAGGCCCTTTCCTGATACACCTCTCTCAATTCTTTCACAATTTTAGTTTTACATCTATATAACTACGCATTCACGCTCGCCGATTAATTGTATCCTCGATTTGGTCCATCTTCAATATAATGCCAATTATAAAAAAATTAAGTGAGTGTACAATCAGTAATATATGTACATGTAAATAAAATATAAAAATTTACTACATAATAAATTAACATTTTTATCCACAGATATCTGGAGATGAACTTATATCCGATTATCTGTCTGATCAAGATGAGGGTGAAAGCACCTTGATCTCTTCTTGGAATGAAATTTTACAATTTTCGGAAAGGTTTGTAACTAAAACAAAATTTATTTTTATTAAAGAAAATCACAGAATAGTACTCCTGGATATATTTCTGGAATGGAGCCATTCCTTTTGTCCTTATGGCCAAACTTGTCCTTAGTCAATGAAATTTGCCATTTCCAACAAAAAATATGTATTTAAGTATTTATTTGCTCACGAAGTGTACATTAATATTGTAAAAAATATTGAGGTCACTTAACGGGATAAGAACTATCCTATCTCTCAAGTTGGACCAAACTGCAACATTTTTTGGACATAATTATTAATACGATAAAATATTTTAACTAAATATATTAAGCAAATGATAAAAACATGCGTGAGTGTCGTGGAACACTTGGCTGGAACGAAGTTCCTTTCATAGTATATTATTATTGATAAACGTATTATATTATTGATTAACAAATATAAATAAATTAATTATTAGCGTCTATTAAAATGAAGCGTCATTTAAAATAAAATACACTATGACACAAGGGGTAGTGATGAGAAAATCTTACACTTTTTGTCGCCTAGCTCCCATCCGCCAAAACCGTACAGTCCGTAGACACTCAGTAGGCGGTGATCGTACCAGAGTACCAGACCTCTTAGACCGTTGCTCCTCATCATCAGTCTGGGTATTTTACGTCTAACTTAAGCGGTTACACTGACCAAATATTTCTCTAGCATTTCCCATACTAACCACAACAATCAGGAAACGATATGGGCTAATAGATTTCCTTACTGCACCATATAACACACATATTAAAACATAAAGTTAAATTATATTTAACTATATTTTGTTTTTAGATCACAGATAGAAAATAAAACAGACGAGATGGCTTTAGAAGCAGAGCCCTTACTAAAGGCTGATAACACAAAGGTACGTTTATATTTTTATATATATGTATATATATTAGATGTTCCCCGCGACTTCGCCCGCGTATAATTTACGTTTTTATTACGTGGAACTCTAATCCTTTTTATAAAATAAAACTAGCCTAAGTTACTCTTTATGACATCAGCTATCTGCCAGTGAAAGTCCCATCAAAATCGATCTAGCGGTTTCGGAGATTAGCTGAAACAAACAGACAGACAGACAAACATTTTAAAAATTGTGTTTTTGTTATAAGTACCGTATATACTTTCATATGCATTTAGTGAAAAGCTGTTATTTTGACATTACAAACAGACACTCCACTTTTATTTATTTGTATGTATGCGTGTGCGTGTGCGTGTGCGTGTGTGTG